ATTCTTCTCATACTAAATTATGGATTAACTAGCACCTATACTAGTAAAAATTGCCAAATGGAATTCGATCGGACCAAATCGTTTGAATTATCATCATTTGGTAAGTGAATGTTCAAGTGTTGCCCCTGATGCTTTCCAATTTTACGGTAATGTCTCGCTGCTTGGTGAAGTTTTCTTCACTTTTGGTAAAATATTATCTTTATTTTCTGTAATTCGTTATATGCTACGGTAAACTTCTTAAAAAGTAAAACCTATAGTATGAAAGCAATTCGGCCATTGCTTTTGTTAATGCATTTTTAATTATTCGTAAGATAAATGTTGTCATGACTATGAACCATCTTTCTGGCTCCTTAAAAAAAAAAAATTCTTAAATTGCAATACATTTTGATGGGAAATTCACCCTACTCTCATTCATAACCATACGATACTTATCGACTTATACGACGCTTACGCTTATATAATTTTATTCGAAACAAAATTCTAGCTGCCTTAAGAAAAAACTCAAAATCTTTTCTTATTTTTTTTCCCCCTTATTATATATGTTAGACATTCGAGTATACGTGAATGTGAAAAGGAAATCGTTTACAAATATTTTTATTTTTTAAATTTTATTGCAAAAAATGTAAAAATAAATTGAAATTGTTAGGAAATCTTTATAGATTTTCCGATTGATTTCATATCAAATACTAAGCAAGCTTTCCTTTTTTTTTTTTTTTTTTTTTATCTGAACACTAATAAAGCAAAATCGAAAAAGTTTTGAAAAATTGCTCATTTACTCGTCACTTTGCTTGTAAATTTCTCAGTTACTAATTGTATTTCTTTTCTTTCTCTATTTTTTTTTTTTTTTTTTTTTTTTTTAATTGTGGATAAATTTATTTTTATTTTTTTTATTTTTTTCGGGGCGCTTAACTTTAATTAGAAAAAAACCATTACCTATGGAAATGAAAACTATATTCGTACAGCAAAGAATTTTGCGTAAAAAAAAAAAAAAAGATTAATTATATATAAGTTAAGCAAGAAAAAAGCATTTATGCAAATTACCTTATAATTCTTAGAAGTAATAATTTTAAAGAAAATTAAAGAGAAAATTATATTAAGGGTAGTAAAGTATGGAAAGCAAAAAATGAAATGAAATTTATCCGTTACTCATAGAGGAAAGATATGCAAACAATGGAACGGCTAAAGTCCCGCAGTTACATTCATTTCAAAATTGACCCCTTATTGCAATTAAAATATAATTGCTTCAAACATATGAATATTTGGCATATTTATTAGGTTAGTAATTAAATGTACATAAATAGCTTTGTTTCTTTTATACCCGAATCTTTTCTTAAAAAAGAAATGGAGAAAAAAATTATTTCTAGGTTAATAAGAAAGTAGCATTTTACTTAAAAATGATGATAATAGCCTGTAAATATATTTTTATAATCTTCTCGTTTGTACTTAACTCCCAGTATAGGGGTATATTCATTTCATCAAAACGCTATTAAGGAAGCTTTAGAGACCCCGTAATGTATATATATATATATATATATATATAGTGAAATTTTCAATGAAATTAAAAATGTCCATCTCACCAGCTGTCCGTCTGTACGTTTACGATAAAACAACACACACAAAAAGTGGACCTTTGAACCTTTTGCAGTAACATCGGAAGTTATTCAATGCAGGTTAAAAATCTGGCAAATGTGTACCACATGCCAAAATACCTTTGTTTTCAGAAGCAGAAAAAAAAAAAAAAAAAAAATGGGTTGTTTGCTTAAAATTCATAACCTAAATTACGTCATCCACGCTTTTTCAAAAGTATAGACGAAAAAAAATTGATATTTTTTTTTTTTTTTTTTTTTTGTAGTCTTTCTTAGGATTAAGGTGGTCAGTATAAAGGATTCCATCACAATAGCACATAATTATCTTATTTGGCGTTTTTCTTTTCTCACCTCAAAAAATCAAATTCAAAGGATATTATGGAGGGTAAGAATATTTACGTGGATTAACAATTCACCTTTTCAGATTAGTTTAATATTTTTTTTTTTTTTTTTTTTTTTAACAGAGGGACGATTAGAAAGAAGTAGAAAATATGAGAAAGACACAATGAGTGATCGCAGCATATTGAGTGCGTAGGCGATTAATCAGACCTTAGCACTATAGCTACGACGATATATGCTCTACCCCGCTAAGATTTCAACAAGACAAAGGCGAAAACAGAATTGAAAAGTTAAGTGCAATCTTGTCAGGAAAACACATAAGACAGCTAAATCGATGCACTAACTTCGACAACTGAAACAAAAAGCTCCCATATGCAATCAATAGTGGAGGAAAAATGTTATTGCGTTTAAATGTCCGGAAAACAAAACGAAACCACTGCACGAATAATATAACTTTAGTCATAAAATATAATATAATAAAAGGAGAGACCTTTATCGGCTTAGGATTACTAAGTGTATGGTTATGGAGCAATCTGTTTAAAGTGTCTAATTAACGTTCCATATTTTGTTTTCATTTTAGTAATGCTATACAAGTGCATAAAGCCAGAATAGATTTATTTTATTCGATTTAAACGAGCAAGCATGATTAACGCCATCTACATCACGTAGTTAATTACTTAGTTAGTTTTGGTTCAATTGCATCTTGAGTACTTTGCTTAAAAATAAATTGCTTTTATTCTTGACCTTGATAATTAATAAATATTTATCTGAAATTCGATGGAAATCATTATCCGAATCATGTCAATATTCCGTAAAGGAATGTTTGTAATTCAGAATAGGATCAGAAAGTTGATTTATATGCATACTGACAGCAAGAGGGGGAGGATAAGGATATTTAATTTTCTGTTCTACTTCTGCTTCTTATTTTCCTTATTTGTTATATTTGCTTTGATTTTTACTTCGCTCTGTATGAGGCGTATGAGTAACATCGCATAACGTATACTTTGTTGTTGAATAATTTCTGTATTATATTCTGTAGCATATTTTGTTCATCGCTCCTGCAACATGAGTACAATGTACAGATTCAGCAACTACGTGTATCTGTGTGTTAGCATTCACAGAGAATACATATATTGCGTTCTCTTAGTTTTATAGAAAATTTATTCTCTTAGCAAAATTTTTTTGGGAAAATATCAAGTATACGCCGGTTGGTTATTTTTATATAAACACGTACACACATTCATATTTGTAAAAGGCTACACTTATTTTTAGCATTGAATAGAGGTTCAAAGTTCAAGGCAATTTATGTAAGAACAAATCGAAATGCATGCACAATAAAATTGCTTGTTTTGCAAGGCAATAAAATAAAAAAACAACAAGAAATTTAAATGCAAAAAAAAGTATTGTCCGTAATTGCAAATAAGTCATTAAAGGCTTCGTAATATCGTAAATTATGAAAACGCCAAGAATATTTGACTTCAAATTTGTCACTTTTTTCAGAACAAATCTTTTTTTTTTTTCTTTTCTTTTCTATTAATTAAATGTTTAGTTTACTTATGTATTAAAATGAATGCAATTTGCTTATCACTCATGTTTCTTTCCACTTTCTTGTGTTCTTTCTTAGCTTATTTATTAATTTTTTCCACCTGCCGTCATATGAGAAATGATTTAAATGTGAAAGCGCAAAAAAAAAATAAATAAATAAAAAAGAGAGAAAATACAGTTAAAGCAAATCTTTCATTAGCGAAGCATTTAAAAGTATTTGCATACGTATATCAGCATAACTACATATGTATATCATATCTTAATCCTGTGTAGAATTTATTTGCATTTTTATATACGAGTACGAGTGCGTAATGTATTAAGAGCATAGGAACATAAAAAAGCAAAGATATGCACATGTGCTGCGTAATTAAATTTACACAGAACGTGACATATTTGACGTTTGTTATAATAAATGTATAAATAAGACACGTTTGCATGTAAATAGATTACTATAAAGTAGAGATGAATATGTTTGTTTGTACGAATTATTTATGTAGATTTTAGATTTTAACAAAAACATATTTTTAAAAAGTATTACAAACTTTTCAAGTGGAAGCAATTTCGCAACAATTTCAAATAATTTTTTTCTTCTAATTATATGATTTGGCGATTGTTTCATATCTTCTTCGTAATCGAGCAATACTCGTCAAAATTGTTTCTAGGCACAAGAAACTTGCATTTTCATTATTGAAATTTTTTCACTGTTAATTGAGATCAAAAGCTAAGAAAATAACTTAGAGGGAAGCTCATCAACAGACATTTTGTTGCTTGAAAATGGCTTGAAACGCTCCGCAAAACAACCACTTTAAACGCATATCTTTATCTCACTCATTTTATAAAGTATGATTAGCAGCGATTCAAAGGTGCTTTCTAAAAGAACGGTTCGTAACAAATATATGTAAGATTTTTCAAAACTACGATTGGTTGGTTGGTTACGTGGCTTGATTTTCCTGATTTGATAATTTTGATCCTTTAGATGCCACCATCATACCCATCATTTAAAAGTCCATATATCAGTGAACTCTGTTAATCAATTATTTGCTTTAGAGTCAGTTTTGATGAATCTTTTATCGCACGAAAAAAAACTCGAAGAACTGTGTTTGGTTGGGACTATAATGACTTGAAATATTGAAAAAAAAAAGGCGTAGAACAAGTCCAAGTAATTGTTGGTGGCAATATTTTATTGCATAGTTTGGCTAATATATCCAAACAATCGTAGACTTGAAAGCGTGAATGTGGGATTTGACAGGCACCAGATCAGCATCCGCCTGAGTAGCCGAGTAGATTAGTTTCCCGACTACGAAGACAGAGTTCGCAGCACCTAATCTCAGTCCAGTAGAGTATACTTGAACATAACTAAAGTGAGCGCTGGGCATATTGGGCATTCCTCACTTCTTTCTGGTCGTTACGGGACATCCTCTGTGTGATTGGTCATATTAAAAAAAGAAACAAAAAAAAGAAACGGTTTAAAGATCATCATGCAAAGAATAATGTTTGTAAAACCACTTCACCAAAAAAAAAAAAAAAAAA